ATTTATAGATTGACACATTTCTTTAAAACATTTTTTAATTATGAAATTCCAAACATACAAAGAAAAATATAAAAATATTAATATAAAGATATATGTAACCAACCTAGATTTTTCATATGTAATATTTTTCCATTTTTTTTAAACAAGACACTAGGGTTAAAGCTGAGGTCCTCCGTGTAATTTTCATTTTTTTCCTTCCCCTGTTCTCCAAATGCACCTGTTATTTCTAAATTTGCTATGTTTTGCATTCTTTTAAGCATCATATAAATGTTGCATATTGTAAATACTATGATAAAATCTCATTTTTCTCAATATCATGTGTTCAAATGTATCTATCTTAACAAATGTAGATCTACATCATTTATTTGAACTGATATGCAATATTTCTTTCTATGAACAAATGACAATTTATTCAGTTTCAGGTTCCTGTTTATAAATTTTGCTATTTAGCATATGCCATTGTTTTTGCCTTTACACCCTTGGCATTCACTTCTTCAGGCTGAAGTGTGCTTCCCTTGACACTGTGCTGGAGGGGTTTTGTTCTGACAAACTCAGAGCTCACTCAGCCTGCACTCAGGGCAAGTTGAAATGCCAGGGAGCCTGAAGCCATCTTTATTCGACATGGAAATGATGGACAGGAATTTAGTGGAAAAATACGTGAACTCTTTTCACACCTCTTATGCAAGAACCCTTAGGTGTGTTTCCCACCATTATTTGCCTCCATTGCCTGTGGTGGCAATTTGCTGGTCGTGGGCCCTTTGGTTTCCTGTCTTTCCCTATCTCACATCTTCACTTCCCCATTTGTTTTCTCTGGAATCACCTCCCAGATAAACTATGTGAATGCAAATCTTGGTTTCAGGATCCATGCTTGGGAACCTAAACTAAGGTCTGCTATTCAAAACACACTCCTGATAAACATTGTCTGGTTGTACATTTCTCCTTATCCTCATGCAGGTGAATTTCTCTAGGGGAGAAACAGCAAAATAAAGCCCAGCCATCCACATCCTGCCCAACACTTGTCTTGTATAGCCTGTGAACTAAGAAGGAATTTTACATTTTTTAGAGGTTGAGAAAATTCAAATAAGAGTAATATTTCATAGCATGTAATTTATGAAATTCACATTTTCGTGTCCATAAATAAAGTTTTGCTGGAGTCCAGTCATGCTCATTTGTTTACTTATTATCTGTGGCCATTTTTGTACTCTCATAGCAGAGATGAGTGGGTGCTCCAGACACTGTATGGCCTGCAAAGTCTAAAATATTTACTATCTGGCCCTTTACAGGAAAAAGCTCACTGACCCCTGTTCTAGGGTATACATCTAGAAGTAGAATTTCTGTGCTCAAAATAATGCACATATATATCCACAAATATTTTACGTATGTATATATATTTAAATATATTATATATATTTATATGCATTATATATGTGCATGTGTGTATACACAGATGCACGCGTGTGCACACACAAACTGTAAACATCGCCAAATTGCTCTCCACTGTGGTTGTTCCGGTTGATACTCTGCCCGCCAGGGACATTTGAGTGTTTCCATTTTTCCATATCCTCACCAGTGTGTTTTCTTTTAAACAATACTTTATAATACTTGCTAATCACTCTTTTTAACAAAGAAATGTTCATGTCTCAGGCTCTTTTAAAGGCAATAATATCTAAAGAATTGTTTGTTTTAAAATATGTTTATGGTTATCTGTATTTTGTGACAAATGATTGGTTTTCCATTTGTGGAAGTGATATAAAAATTCCTTTTAAAGCATCTTTTAGGGAAAAAGAATAATTGAAAGAGAATTCATTATGTATACATACAACAGTAAAGTGATTGCAGATGTGGCAAAATCATAAAGACAGATTCTGAATGAATGAATTTTGTGAATCAGAGGAGTGGAAACTTGTGACCTGTGCTTTAATCCTGGGTCAATCACTAGCATTGTGTGTTCTTGGACAAATGATTTATCCCCTCTAGATTTCAGTAAAGTGGAAACAGTTGCTAAGCTTCCTTTAATATTCCCTCATAGTATTAATTTGGAGATTTATTGAGATTATAAAGTAAAAAGTTTAATGAAAGTGTAGAGCATTATATAAATGTAAGATTCTACTGTGTGGCACCATCTTTCTGCGTAACCTGCATCACAACCTGGAAGCAAAGTGGAGTTTCTACCACTTTTCCTGAAGATGAAGAACATAGTCTACTTTTGGTGTGTGGCTTTTTTGCTCACAGTGGCATCTTTGTCAGTGGTACCAACCCCATGCCCTATATTTCTACTGGTAGAAATTCTATTGACTGTTCATCAGACTTTTTCCATGAAGTTTTTCCCAGATTCCATTTTCTCTTGTCATCTTCTTTGATCTTGTCTTCAAGTGAATATTTATATTATTTAAAAATGTTCTCTCACAACATGGGGCATAATCCACTGTCTATTGGTTGGAATGCTTACGTACTACAAACTCCTTCAGCATCTTTTTCAGAACCCAGCATTGTTCCATGCACAGAACGCTAGCAAATCAATATATGTTGACTTCAGTTTCTTCTATATGCCCTCATTACTTCTTTTTCTAATTGAATGAAAGATTCTTTAAGTTCTATAGTGCTTTATAATTTTGAAAAGTGTCACACATATGATTTCATATAATCCCAGAACAACCCCTTTTTTAAAAATCCCCTACCAATATATTGCCTCTCCCCCCACTTCACACTCCCTCTTGGTAACCACTAGTTTGCTCTCTCTGTCTGTGAGTCTGCTTCTTTTTTATTTTACTCACTAGTTTGTTGTATTTTTTAGAAAAGAACACAAATAATGTTGGTGAGGATGTGAAGGAAAGGGAACTTTCTTACACTGTTGCTGGGAGTGTCAGTTGGTGCAACCACTGTGGAAAACAATATGGAGATTTCTCAAAAAACTAAAAATATAACTACCATGTGACCCAGCAATTCCACTCCTGGGTATATATCTGGAAAAAAAACCCCAAAAAACAGAAACACTAATTTGAAAAGGTGTAGTGTTCATAGCAGCATTAACCAAGGTACAGAAGTAACCTAAGTGTCCATCCGGTAGTTGACTGGATAAAGAAGATGTGAGACACACACACACACACACACACACACACACACAACTGAACACTACTCAGCCATAAAAAAGAATGAAGTTTTGCCATTTGCAGCAACATGGCTGGACTTGGAGGGCATTTACTAAGAGAAATAAGTCAGACAGAGAAAGGCAAATACTGTATGATATCACTTATGTGGAACCTAAAAAATATAACAAACTAGTGAATAAAACAAAAAAAAAAGCTTACCCATTACCTCTTTTTAAAGTATGCTTGCACCAATTTTGTCTGCATGGCTGAGAATATGAGCCCTTGATAGGGGCTACGAGGCTATTTTTTCAAGTGGTGGGACTCTTCCTACCTCTTTCAGCTCATCTTTAAATAGCCTGTCCTCCCCGTCTCTGCTTCAGCCACACGGATTGGCCAGTCCCCCAAATGTGCATGCTCCTTCTGTACAGGGCCCTTTGCACATATGATTCCAAGTGTGTGGAATGATTTCCTTCTCCCTTCACTTAAGAATTTTTACTCATTTTTTAGACTTGAAAAGCTTCTCCTCCCCAGGGATGCCCTCTCTTGGCTATGCCAAATTTCCCTCCTGTCTGCTCCAACAGTACCGTAAACTTTTCATTGGCAATGTTTCTCTTGTAGAAATGTTTTATTTATTTATATGATTATTTGATTAATGTTAATCTTACCCACTAAGCTTTGTGCTTCACGAAAACATGGGAATATTTGTTTTCCCTCACTGTTGTATCTCCAGCATCTAATATAAAGCTAGGGGCATACTAAATGCCCAGTGAGTACTTGGTGGGTGACTGACTGAATGAACAGTGTTGCTCTGCTCCCTGCAAAATCAAATCCAAGCTCCTGTCCTCCCTTGTTCTCATCTTCCGTTATCAGCACATGGAAATGCATATGAGCAAGGGCGTACACGGTGCTCTGTCTGCTTCAGCCAAGTTATCTGGGAAAGCTTCCAGGGTGTCAAGACACCAGCCAGAGCTGCCGGGAATCAGTGAGTTCCTGCAGCAGTTCTTAGTGGCCTGCTGCTGCTGACCCCTGCCTTTTGAGAATTATATCTTCCTCAAGCAAATGCCAGAATGCTGTCTGTGGTGGTTAGATTCCAGCTGTAGGCCACTCTAAATATACCCAGGTGCCATTTTACTTTAAATGCCTTTCTAAAAATAATCAGCCTGCTGAACCACAGATGAATAATACACAATTTAAATTCAGGTGACAAGCGGCATGTTGATGTTTAAGAACAGGTAGTCTCACATTTGGTTTCTGACACAGAAAGACCTGTCTTGCTATGAGGCATGAATTACAGACAACCCTCTGACATCACACATCAAACCTGACACTAAGGGAAGCCGCCACATATATATATAAACACACGCCTGTGATTATTATTCTAACTCTGTATTTTAAAATCTACTCTTATGGTCAGCAACCCTAGACTTCATCACTATTTATTAGTCTTAATACTGTGGCAATGGATGATGACATAAAAGATTTTTTAAAGTGCTTAACTTTTTGCCATTTCAGTAAAGCAGCTTCTTCTCACTCCACCCTCCCAACTCATTTTTTTTTTTAAATTTACAAAATCATCTATGAGGTTGTGTTTGCATGGAGATGAAAGATTTTGACCACAGGGTACCATGTTTCCATACCCTTATTATAAACACCCTTATACTATAGCTCTGGAAGGAGGGGCCCCTGAACAGATGTTGGCGGTTAACAGGACACACACAACGGCACTGCATCTATGTTGTAACTGGGCCAAGGTCTCCTTCAGCAGCTTGGTCCGTGTCTCTCCACAACCCATTAGCATTTACGTGCTGCTCAGGGCCGCACAGTTGGACCATAAGGAATTGTGTTCTCCCAGATTTCAGTGGGGACTGAGCATTACTTGTGCTAATCTGAACTTACCTCTTTGCCTTTTAGACCCTGAGAGTGAAAGAACAAGTGCTTGCTTTTAACCAGAGGAAGTGATCAAAGCATATGATCTGGATAATATGACCGTGAGTACTGGTTTAGTCATTGATTTAATCAGGGAGAGAAATTATTGCAGAAAAGTTTCACATGCAGTCCTGGATTTTCTAAATTAATGAAGACTCTCATTTCCATTTTCAAAGAGTGCTGCAGGGTATCATTCCTGTTTAATGTCACATTGTTGCTGGGTTGGTAGTGGATTGGCACAAAAATGGGGTGGAGAGAAGGAGCCAGGCAATACTAGAGTGGTCCAGGATGAAAAGGCGCCAGTGGAACATCTGGCTTAGCGATACAGCTGCTCTGGGGAAAGCTCTGATCCTCATAGATTGGGTGATAAAATGCGGTGAGTCAGAACTTATATTATGGTGTGTTTCATAATAACTTTCTAGCACAGTGTCAGAGCAGTGGTGCCAGGACTGCTATTTACAAAGGAACCATTTGTGTTTCATTTTATTTTGCTTGATTATTTCCATCGAATTGTGATGCAACTTGTGTGGAAGTTTTGACAAAGGAGTTGTTTTCACATTTTTAATAGTGAAATTTAGAAAAGATATTGAAAACTGAGTCTGTGGCAATGTAAAAATCTGTGTTTTGAATTAATTTTCTTTGGTGAAATAAAACATTGATGTGAAAAGGAGCTTTTAACTACAAAATGATACAATCTTATATCAACAGTGTTTATTTCTGGCTGGAGGGTTTTGGATGATTTAAAATTTTTCCCATTTTGTTTGCTTCCATTTTCTACGTGTTTTATTTGTAGTATAAAAGCACACACACATACGTGAACACAGGTGTATGTGTATACATGTGCATACATACAAGACACGTATACTTAGGTGGATATTTTCCTTACAAAGAGCTGCTGTTTCAAAGGAACGTCTATTTTCATCCCCCTGGATTCTATGTCAGAAGTATGTGTTTATGGGGTAGAAGAAATAAAGAAAGAATGAGAGTGGAGGGCCAGAGTAAAGCAGGAAACTTTGGCTCTTCCATTGGCTGTGGCTATTGTCTGGGGGTGGGTCTTCGAGCTCCCGTTTTCCTCTGGTCACACTCCACTGGGCTGTAGGAATGTCATCTTCCTTTACCTTTGCAGCTGTGATGTTCAGGACAGGACAAATTAGTCCCTTGGCATACTAATGACTTATGCTTCATGAAGACCTGCACTTGTGTGCACTGTGAGCATACCTTAGGGATGTTCACAGTTTGTCGGTGTTGTGGACCACTGTTTGCTTACAGAGCAGACATCTCCTCTACCTCAACTGTTTCCTTGCTAAAGAAACCCAGTGTACTGGGGGGCCATGGTTCCTGTGCTCTTCTCTAGTTGCAAGGGGTGGGGAATAGTGCATGTTTTCTCATCTAAGTCAGTTGCAATTCTATTCCCCTTTACAGTGATGGGTGTCAGTATGGACATGCGACACAATCCTGGCCAATTAGATACAAATGAAAGTTCACTGGGGAGCTTTGGGGAAATGTTTCCTTAATCGATAGGGCATGGATCCTTTGTAGCCTGAACTAAGCAATCTCCAGACGTCTTTAGGTTTCTGCCGGTTCTCCAAGCCTAGCCTTGGGAACCTCCAGTGTCCTTCCCACCTTTTTGATTAGATACCTGGATTTCCTTTTCTTGCATGCACCCAAAAACTGACTGATACAACTAATGTTAACTAAAAGAGACACATCTCTTTTTCTGTGTGATGTGATCAATAATCACTAGAAACATCTTATGGGAAAAGACTGTTCTTAGAATATGGATATGTCCATAACAAAGTTTTAATTTTGTGATTTATACAGCAGCAAGCCAGCTCTGGGGCTTTTTCTGTTCAATCATAGTAATGACGACGCATTATTCTTTTGTATCCCTCAGACTGCTTTCTCTTTTGATTGTATGGAGAAGGAATAGAATTCCTAAAGACATAATGAATCGAGAGGTCTCTCACCTGAAGTTTGACTCTTCCAAAAACTTCTATTTGTCACTTGCTTTATAGTTGTAAATTGTAGACCAATAGAATGATTGTCATTGAATTTAGTCCCTAAAAGGAACTCGGTAATTATCTAGGAATATACTCTCATTTTATTGCTAAGAAACCAAAGCCCTCAGTAAAAAGACTTATCCCAAATCACATAGCTATTTAAAAGCAGAATTGGGCTTAGAATTCAAGTGTTCTGAATCCGAGTCCAAAATTCTTTCTGTAGGTGCCATTCTCCAAAGATTTCATAATAAAACAAAACAAAAAAAGAAAGATGGGTTAAAAAATCATTTTGCTTTGTAAACAATAGTAAACATACTCATGATAATGCTTTTTAGACTATGGCTAAATAGTAACCCACCCAGCATTTGCTTCATTTACCATTTATGTTGTTTCGATTAACAAGTTTTAGGTAATTCTGCCTTTAGGTAAAAGATAGGAGCAAGTAAAATCCACTTTTAGATGTTTTTCCTTTTCTCTCTTTTCCTTAATTTGGCAAGTCAAGTATAATCCTTTCCTGAGTATATGCAACGTATAAACAAGCAGAAAACGCGTATCTGGTGTCTCACCTCTCTTTCTGAAAGTGTGACTGTGGCCTGGGGTCCTGCAGGGTGCAGCTCTCCGGGACAGTTTTAGTACTCTGGGGACAGCCTCCACGTCTCCAGGCTTTACTACTTTGTATTATTTTTCTTTTATGTGTGTGTCCTGACTCCTGAATGAAATTGCCTTCTCAGAGGGCCTTCGGCAAGTATGTTTTGATGGTTCAACTTTCATTCAACAAACATGCACTGAGCATCTACAATGTGCCCTGCAGTCTGATGGGGATTAGTGACACAAGGATGAGAAAAAAACAGCCTCTGCCCTCGGGGAACACTCTCTACTCAGAGCAACCTGAATTTTAAAGTGACAGGTGGTAAGAAATGATACACATGATACTGTCATGCTTAAAAATCTCCCCTTATAGCCGAAGAACCCAGATTACGAAACTTAAAAACTTTTAACTGGGCTTTACTTTGAGCAGTCTGCAGAGGGCTATACAGTAGTCTGCGAAGGCAATTATAATGGTAATTAAGATAAAGTACATTTATTCCTACGGGTAATAATGAAACTGTCTCATATATTACAAATTAGTGATTGAATTTCTGATTTTTCCAAGACAAAGAATACATGGTTTTAGCAAATGTGGATGAGAAAATGCTTAGAATCAGGGCAGTGTGAGCCAAACGGTGGCAAATGGGCTGAAACTTCTGTGAAGATTAAGGGAGAATGGGCAACAGAAGAATTGTAGAATAAATTGACGGCCCTTCAATAAAAAATAAAATGAAAAACATTCTATTTTCAGTGCCAAATTATTTTGAAGACATAGAAAATACTTCCTGGAAAGAAAACTTAAGAACAATAATAGCAGCTGACTTTCATTGAGGTGCTACTGCGTGCCAGGCAGTGAGCAGAGAGCTCTTATACGTACTGTTTTATTTAGTTCTTATAGGAATTCCATTAAGTCGGTTCAGTTATTATCCTTGTTTTACAGAGGAATAAACTGAGGCTAAGAGGAATTAAGGAATTTGCCAAATGTGGCACAGCCACTAAGTGGCAGAGCCATGACTAAACCCAGGGCATCTGACCTGGTCATCTACACCACTGCCCTGGGAACAGTCAGGCCTGGTTCTACATAGTCATTTAAAGAGAATCCTTCTTCTCTGTTTGGCTAGAAAAAAAATTAAGTCATGAAAAGTTAACAGCAAATCCATTCTTTTACATTAGTAAATTACTGAAGCGCTCTTTTGACTGTTTTTAATATATAAAGATTTTGGCTGAATTATTTTTGTTGTTCTGAGAGGAAATTAAGTCCCTATCTTGGAATTTTAGATGGCAAAGGTGTGATGAATCTATCACCTGTGATTCTAAAAAGTCTTGATGTATATTTATATTTCTCTTTTTCAAATTCCAGAGGAATTCCGCTTTCTCTATGACTCTTAAATCTATAGCTGAACTGGTATCTCCAGTTTTCCTCATCTATACGAAAAATTATGTAAAAAATAAGAACCAAATAAAATTTCGAAAAAAGAATTGTAGAGTAATAGGGCTGACATGATACAAGCTTAAAATCAACTTTGTCTTGGCAGTGGCATTGGAAGGCTCCATATTTGCTCCTGATGTACAGACACACTCATGTATTCAGCACATCTCTTTCGATAACTTTGTGTCAGACAGTGTTGTAGATGCCTGAGATACATCAGGACCAAGATGCCTGTTCCCGTGGAGCTACATTTCTGTCTTTCTTGCTTGAGACACTTCAAATTATTCCCAATTACATTCAGGATAAAATCCAACACCATTCGTGCAACCTACAAGGCCCTGCTGATTTCTCCATCTCTTTACACTCTTCTTCTCTTACTCTAAGCTCCAGCCACCCAGAGCCACTTCCAAATTCTGAAACCAAGGAAAAGAAGTTCTGTCCAAACTTCATACTTTGCACATACTCTTCCTTCTGTTGAAATGATCTTCTCAACCCTTCTCATCCCTACTCAACCTTCCTGTCTCATCCAGCTCAAATGTCATGTCCTCTAGAAGCTTCTTCTGACTTCCAGAATAGGTCTAGCTGTCTCCTCTGTGTCCCCATAACACTCTGTGCTTAACACGCATCACAGCCTATGGAAATGGCCTCCTTATCTGTTTGTCTCTCCCTCTAGAGCAGAGGGTCCTTGAGATCAGGGACTGTGTCTTGTACACTAGCATATCCCAAGTGCCTCACATGGTGTCTGGCACCTAGATACTTGTTTAAAATTAACCACACAAGAGGAACCATTAAGAGGTTGTCTGCCAAACAATTACACCAGCCATAGGATTTTTCTTGAAAGATTTCCAAGTTGATTAGCAATCTATTACCTGAATCGAATACCAGATCTCTATCAAAGTTTCTCACCAATGGATTAAATACATTGTGAGCAGCAGTCATCTGCCAAGCTAGCGTTAGATGCTATTGTGTTTTTAGGGAGACCAGACTGGAGTTGGAGAGAGAAAACCAATACAATTAGGGAGCAGTTTGAGAACAAAACTGTTGG